TTGACTTCTCGTACGTACAACGTTCTCTTTTATTATCTCAGTTTTTGGGTAAATTTTATCCCATTGAAATTTCAATGAAATCCTAAGAGTCACTAAACTTTAAAGTTAATTTAAAATTCCATTGCTCTATCCCATTCCATCACCATTGCCCCCCAGATTAATGAAAATAACTTGCTTAAATGACAATAACATCGTAATCAATCTTTTACGTAATGGTACATGTCATCCTAGGACTATGGTAAATGCCCTTTTCAGCAATGGAAATCAAACATTTGAGGTAGAAAGAAAGCATTTCATACGAAAATTTAGGGGGGTTTGTTTTTTTACTTCGACTTGAGGAGTGGACTTTCCACAACCACGATTTGGGTTCTAATGAATGTCTAGATTTCCAACTTATTTAATTATGCGAATTTGAATTCCTAAATAAATAAATAAAAGTAAAGTTCGACATGCATTGATTTGAAGATTTTTCCCTTCAAGTCACGTGTACATTTACCATCCACATGTACAGTTTTCGTTTAGGACTCGTTCTCATATTCAAACAAGAACCCAAAACCTCACTTTTTTAAGCTAGAAGATCCAAAGAGAAACCAGCCCATAATTTTCTCAAATTTTTTTTTACGATGATTAGAAAGTAAACGAACAAACCTCCAACTCATGCCCATCGTTTGTCAACAGGATCGAGGCATTTGGAGGAGCAAACGAGGTGGGAGAAGCAGTGGTCAGGACAATCACAGCATCAACCAAACTCACAGATGTCAAAGGAACATTAACAGAGTCAAGTTTGAGACAGGATTCACAAAGAAAGGTCAACTACTATAAGCTGGAATTCAGAGTCGAAAGCTCAATGTTTCGACGACACAGTGTCGCCGTATGTTGTGCCTGCAAGGGAAGACTGTTCACTTTAAATGCACAGACTCCTGAATCTGCTTGGCCGCAATTGAAATCAGACTTCTATAAAATTGCTGATTCTTTTCGTCTAACTAATTAGAGACATTCAACAT